TTGGCCTCCTGGAGTGCTAGGATTACAGGTGTGGGCCCCCATGCCCTGTCCTTACAGCATGCTGTGCCTGGGAAGAATCTACTTCAATATCTCCAGCAATACAAGATAAGGTCTAGACTTGGCTATAACCTTGAAAATGGGGGTGGGGGTGGGGAGTGATGAACAAACCCAATGTCCTTCAAAGTGGGAGGAGTGACCCAAGCAGCCCATCTCCTAGGACTGATGCAAATGGCAAGCAAGGTCAAGTCTTCCCTGGAAACTGTTACACCCTGCTCATTTGGCAAGGGTCATTCTTGTTACTCTCTCTGGAGGAGGGAAATAGCTGACACCATGTCAGTCATTCCACTTTCATGTGAATTATTTCAGCAGAGCCATTTGTGAGAGTCGTAACAGGGATGGGGCAGGAGAGAAGAGGCCCACGATGGTGCTGGACCAGCTGGTTTAACATTAAGCCAAGGAAAATAATGATATTTCAGGAGCTTACAGGAGAGGCAGGGGCTGGGGGAGTGGCAAGGGCCCCAGACTTGGAGCCAGAGGACCCAGCTTTGCACTTACTGAGGGTCTGACCTCAGTAGCTCCTGTGCCTTTCAGGGAATCAATTTATTTTGTTTTATAACACTTTATTATGGCAAATTTAAAATATAAACTTAGACAGAATATAATGGACCCTCTATATGACCAGGCCCTCTGACTCCTCTGCTTCCTCATTCATTTCCCTGTGTGATTCTAAAGCCAATCCCAGACATCTTCTCACTGCATCCGCAAATTCTTCAGTCTGTATCGCTAAAAGACAAAGATTCTTTAAAAAAAAAAAAAAAAGTTAACTACAGGGCTGTCATCACATCTAAGAGCCCTGACAATGATTCCTTAGCAAATATTCTCAGTGATCAGATTTCCACTTGCCTCATAACTGACATTTTAAAAATATAATTTGTTTGAATCGGGATCTGAATCAGGTTCCCACTTTGTTAATATGTCTTTTAAGCTTATCTATAAATTCTCCATCTCTTTTCTTCCTCCTTAGAATTTATTTATTGAAGAAACATGTCCTGGGGTGGTGCCTATGGCTAAGTGGGTAGGGCTCTGGCCCCATATACGGAGGGGGGTGGGTTCTGGCCAAACTGCAACAAAAAATAGCCAGGCCTTGTGACTGGTGCCTAAAGTCCCAGCTACTCGAGAGACTGAGGCAAGAGAATTGCCTAAGCCTAGGAGTTGGAGGTTGCTGTGAGCTGTGATGCCACAGTACTACTGAGGGCGATAAAGTGCGACTCTGTCTAAGAAAGAAAGAAAGAAAGAAAGAAAGAAAGAAAGAAAGAAAGAAAGAAAGAAAGAAAGAAAGAAAGAGAGAGAAAGGAAGAAAGGAAGGACAAAGAAGAACAAACGTGTCCTCTAGTGTCCCACAGTGTGGATTTTGCTAATAGGTTCAATGTCTTTTTCTGTAAAATGGGGATAACTGTCCCCCAGAATTAAATGAACAAGCACAGGCGATTGGAAGGCACCCACAAAGGCCCTGAGCTAATACATCTTTTGACCTTTCAGTAACACCCCAGTGCTTCTGTTGTTCTGATGATATAGTTGGGGTGCAGAGAAGCCTGGTAACCTGCCCACACTTACACAACCAGCTGATGGTAGGGTAGGCGGTCCCCAAAGGGGACTCGAAGGAAATGTGAGTTCAGGCAGACTCAGCTTGAATTTCATTTTTCTAGGGCCTTGGGTTTCTGCTCTTCGAGCCTCAGTTTCTTCATTTGCAAAAATAGGCCAGGAAGCCAGACGGGCAAGACGCTCAAATGAGCTAAAGTGGGAAGAACTCCATCAGGGCACCTGGCATAGCATGTCCCCATCCCCTTTGCTGTCTGCCCTCCAGTCCTAATACCTCTGTCCCCACATCGGCTCAGCTTCCTTCCCCGCTGAGTGGGGATGAGGCTGGCAGCCCTGGTGGTGACAAACGTGGATCCTGGGTCTGCCCTGAGCCCACCCTCAGGACAGCAGAACAGGGTGGGTGGCAGGAAGCTGAGCACGCTCTGTTCTCAGGGTAGCTTGGGCCGCCAGCTGTGACCTCTTGGGCTGCAGGAAACAATCAGCTATTCTTCCTCCTTCCCCTTCTGTTTCGTTGCTCACTGCCCAGGGCAAAGGGGCCCAGAGGGAAATGCTCCAACTCCCAGCAGTGCCCAGCCGTCAGCATGGCCCAAATGTATGGTTTCTAGGCACCGGCCTTGGCTTTAACAAGCCTAAGCCCAAGTCACTGTCCATAGCAGAGTTGACAATGACAGTCTGATTTCTACCCAGGTTCAGTGCCGTTTATTCACTCAGAACAACATGATGGGGCCTACAAATAATAACAATAATATGGATACAACAACAGCAATGATAATTGCCCACATTTGCACAGCACCTACTCTGTGCCTGCCCTGGCATACGCAGCAGGTGTTGTCATTGCCCCCATTTTACAGGTAAGGAAACTGAGCACTGCGTTTGCATAATTCACCCAAAGTTACATAGCTAGTCAGCAGTGAGCTGGGATTTGAATAGAGATTTGCCTGTTAAAAATTTGACTCTGCAGGGCAGCACTCATAGCTCAGTGGGTAGGGCACTAGCCACATACACCAGGCTGGCAGGTTCAAACCCGGTCCGGGCCTGCTAAAACAACAATGACAACTACAACAAAAAAATAGCTGGGTGTCGTGGCAGGCGCCTGTAGTCCCAGCTACTTGGGAGGCTGAGGCAAGAGAATTGCTTAAGCCCAAGAGTCTGAGGTTGCTGTGAGCTATGATGCCACAGCACTTTACCCAAGGCAACAGCTTGAGACTGTCTCAAAAAGAAAAAAAATTGACTCTGCAAAAGAGGAATTCAAACCTGTTGCTGATGACCACATATGCCAAGTGTCAGGCAAGCTGCTTTCAATATATCAAAAATATATTGCTGCCTCCAAATATCAACCTTATTGTCCCATCTGCATTTGAAGAAATAGGCTCAGAGAGGTAGAGCAATGTGCCCAAGCACACACAGCTGAGTCTGCCTAATTCTAAAACCATGTTTTTTTACTCTTCCAAGTTGATAATAAAATCACATCACTAGAACTCAAGAGAGAAAGTGAGTCCAGGCACGGTGGCTCATGCCTATAATCCTAGCACTTTGGGAGGCTGAGGCGGGAGGATCACTTGAGGCCAGGGGTTTAAAGTTGCAGTGAGCAATGATGACACCCCTGCACTCTACCCTGGGCAATGAAAAGGTGATAGGGAGGATACCTTCTAATATCTTCCTTGGCTTTTAATCTTGGCAAACCAAGTGCTCACATCACCGCAGGCTTCTGAGTATGGCCCACTTCTCTGTCTGGACCTCCTGGCAGCTGGTCCCTTTACTTCATTTTAGGGCTGTGCAGACTGAGCGTCCCAGGTGTCAAGCTGCATGTGGTTCCACAGTGAGACCCCAGCCCTCAGGACTCTGCTCCTGACCTGCCCAGCAGTGAGGGGGCCCCTGGAGGCAGGGCTTCAAGGTAGTGACTGAGAAGGAAAGACCGCTCCCCACAAGGCAGTGCGGTAAAAGCCAGGACACTAGTTATTATCTATCTCTTCGTAGGCACTCTGCAGGCAAGGCTGTGTCTGTCCTGGTGATGCAAGACAAGTACAGGGCCAGGCACAGAGTGGACACTCTAGAAACTTTATTGGAAGGAAGGAGGGAGGGGGCTGGGTAGGATTGTGCAGCGGATCCACAGACCTCAGGCTCTAACCCACCCCAGACCCACTGGGACCCTGTTGTGAGCACACTCTAAGAGAAAGAAATTTTCAGAATATTTGAGGGACATGAGAAGTTTCCCTTGGAGGAGAGGAGACTGTGACCAGACACTTATGCCTAAAGGCTGTCCCTCTGCAGGGGCAGAACAACCCCATGTCTGCCCAGCACAGCAGGAGCATCAGAGCTGGACAACTCTGGAGAGAGAGATTTCAGCTGCAGTCAGGAAGGACTTCAAAACAGGCAGCGGCCACTGGCTCTCCGAGAACACCAGCTCCCTGGCATAGGAGCTGTACAAAGTGAAGGCTGGCAAAGGGGATTTCTATACCAAGGAGGAAACTAGGGCTGGCTCTGAGGGCCCCCTTGCTCTGGGACCTGTGATCACAGGAGGTGGTCTGTGATCCCATGCCATCAAACCTCTCCCATCTCATAGTTCTATCCTGTTCCAAGGACTATCCATCATCAAGGACCCTGTGAGTTGCGCGGACTGAACCAGGCCCCGTCCTAAGTGCTTTTCCTCACATAATCCTCACCACATTCGGCTCGGCGCCTGTGGCTCAAGCGGCTAAGGTGCCAGTCACATACACCTGAGCTGGCAGGTTCGAATCCAGCCCAGGCCCGCCAAACAACGATGGCTGCAACCAAAAAAAGAGCAGGGCATTGTGGCGGGCGTGTGTGGTCCCAGCTACTTGGGAGGCAGAGGCAGGAGACTCACTTGAGCCCAGGAGTTAGAAGTTACTGTGAGCTGTGATGCCATAGCACTCTACCCAAGGCGACAGCTTGAGGCTCTGTCTCAAAAAAAAAAAAAAAAATCCTCACCACATTCCACGTAGGGGACGTTATCCCATTTGACTGATGGGGAAACTGAGGCTTGTCCATAGTCAGTGCTACGTGAAAACAGACCTGTCAGACCTCGAAGCTGTTCTGTCTCAGCCAGTCTGATTCTGATCTCCTATGATTCCCAAGATTCTCTCTTCGTGGCTTAAAGCTAGAGTCCTTCCCCTGGGGGTGAAGCACCAGTCCCCTCCCTCCACCACCCGGCCGCACCCCACCACAGCCCCAGCCCAGCCTTACCACAGTCAGCGCCGTGGTTTCCCAACACTGCCAGCCAATAGCCGTGGTTACCATAATGGTTCCCGAGAGGGGTTGGCAGTCGATTTTCCCTGAGTGGTTCTCAATTTCTTTGAAAACGGGAAGGTGGCTGGAACCCAAAGGAGGACCACAGGCTGCCCCTCCAAAAATGGTTTATCTCACACTCTGGCCATGGTACATCATTTCAGCTTAATTTTATTTCCTCTTATAAATGGGCACAGCACGGGAAATGTTAAAACAAAGAACAAATAAGAAACAACAAAACCAAAAAACCCCAGTTCCTTCTCAAGGCTGGGCCAGGTGAGTACCCACAGCGGGGCAGATGCCTTGGTCTCTTTTTCCCATTGTCTTTTTCCTCCACTTTTCCTTATTTAAAGTTTTGGCCATGAACTCAGGACAGGTACAGTTAATAAACAGGTTACAGGAGAGGGAGAGGGTGGGGGAGGCCGGGAGGAAGGAAGGACAGACTCCCACCCATCCCAGGCCGGTTCTTGGAGGGCTCTGTACAGGAGAGAGGACTCATGGGGTGGGGGTGGGGGTGGGGGAGACACTGTCTTCAGGGGCTCTCTGGAGCCACGCTGCCTACGAAAAATATGTACATGCATTCATCACGCTGAGGCCGGATGCACTGAGGTGCCCTAGGGGCACCTGGGGATGCTGGGGCCATCAGCCCTCCGATGGCAACTCCTGGGGCCCAGTCTGGGCATCTCTAAATCTGTACACAGTTTGTGGGCTTCTATTTACAGGCAGGAGGCCTGAAGAGGCAAGTCCAGGGCTATGGCTGTCAGGGGAAAAAAATCCATGAGGGTGAGCAAGAGGCCAACCCTGCCCCATGAGGCTAAGCTGGGTCTGCTCCCTGCATCCAAGGGCCCCACCTGGAGCCTGACAGGCGTCTCTGCCAACCCTAGCGGGTCTCTCCAAGCACCCTAAGCCCTGCCTGCAGGCCAGCCCAGCCCCACCCTCCCTGCCACCCATATGCCTCCAACGATTAAAGGGACAGGCCTTTCAGGCAAGGTCCCTGTCTGGCCCTGGAGACGGAGTCCAGGGTGGGCTCGACCCCCAACTCTTTAGACCCCAGCTAGCCATGTGCTCTCTGGCAGCCAAGGCCCTAGGAAGGCCCTCAAGCCACATAAGCTCCCTCTCATTTAGAATTTGTCATGCTTCCAGAAAATGCCATGGCCCACAGGATACCCTCCCCAGGAGCACTGGGGCACGGGCAGACCCATTTGCACAGACCCCACACTCATCCCACTGTACACAGGGGGCAAGAGAGGGTGTGAGGGCCCTGCACCCACACTGCACTCAGAGAACGCCAGCCTGTCCTTGTAGCCCAACTCTGGTTTGTCCAGCCAGCCTGGCAGAATTGGATTTGAGCTGGTTGGATTGTTAAATGTCATGAGGATACAGCCTCGATAAAGCCTTAGGTCTAGGGCACCATGAACAAGGCCTTGGGCCTCTTCTCTCAAATGCTAAGGATACAGATAAGAGAGGCAGGGCCAGGAGGTAATGCCCCAAGCCAGAAGCCAGCCCTGGGGCTGGGAGGAGTCAGGCCTGCTGGGGCCACCCCACCAAGGGCTCTAGACCCACACAGATGCTGTACCCACTGCTGGGTCTCCAGGGACCTGACCCTCTCCCCTCTGCCTCCCTGGTTTCTCAGCCTCAGCCCGCCTAGGCGTTCTCACCAGAGCTGTTGTGCCTGCACTAGGGAGCAGGGTAGAGAGGTTGGGACTTTTGGGCTCCTCCTCCCCAGGTTCCCCAGCTCTCTGCCCCAGGGATGACTGAGGCCAAGCCACCCCCTGCACATCTCTGAGACCAGGCTGCCCCCTAACTTCCTCCCTGGCCTCCATGGTGGGACCAGCTGGCTCCCTCACAAGGCTCTGGGCACTTGTAAGGGGAGCTTTGAGTCTAGAAGATGGAGTTTGGCCTAGAAGAAGGACCCCTGGAAAAGACAGCTGCCCAGAACCTGGCCCTCGCTGCCTTGACACCCTCATCCTCACCCTCACCTTGCAGAAGCCCGACTGCCAGGGAATCCTGCTAAGGGAACAGAAATAAAACCTGCCTTCCTGACTGGAACCTGGGCTATAGGCGAGAGGTGGGTGTGGATGCCAGCCAATCACAACTCACACCTTGTCCCTTTAGCTCCAAGAGCCCAGCCAAGCACGCCCTCCCCAAAAGGAGATTTGTGGCCCCATGTTTAAAACACCTATGGAAACGGCCCAAGTTGCCAGGGTAACAAAGGAGAAGGCTGGGCCAGTGACATCTTCCCCCCTTTTCCTGCACAGGCTGCTTCCAGCTGTGGGCCCCTCCAGCTGCAGCTGGAACTGCCTGAGTTGTTTGACCAAATGATGGGTAGCTGTCCTGGGGAGAGCTCAAGGGTGGGGGAAAGGCTGAGGTTGGCCTGGCCAGAGAGAGGGTGCAGAGGGCATGGGCAGAGGGCCCGCCCTCACAGGCACTTTGGGGACTTGTGTCCTGGGAGGCAGTCAACCCCCTAGCTCAGAGCAGGGAAGGGACACAGGGACACTAGGAGCCTAACCATATGCCCCCTCCCCAGTCAGAGCCTTTGGTTCTGGGAGACCTAAGCACCCTCTGTAGCCTGGGGCCAAATTTCAGGAACCAATCCCTTCTTCCCACAGGCTCAGAGAGGCCCCAGACTCCCAGCTGGTGGAGGGCTGGCTCTGAGCCTCCCCTTTTGTGAGCTATAGAGTAGAGGGGAACAGGCAGGGGTGAGGCCAGGTCCACCCAGCACACACTGCCCTGAGAGGACTCATGGCCTCACACTTACTCCAGGAAAGGCATGGGCCCACCTGCTTCCCTCCAAAGTTGAGAGCAGGGTCCTGTGGGGTTCAGCCATGTGGGACTGTGTGTGACATGGGACAGGGTTGGTGGCTGTGTGGTTGGTGTGGGTGCCATAGCATGGGACTGAGTGTGATGGGGCAACTCAGAGTGACCCAATATGGGCTGATTGTTCTGGCTTGATGCCACCCTCCCAATGAGCCTGAAAGCTGCAGACAACATGTGTGGTCCCAGAATGTGTGTGTACTGGGGGTGGAGGAGAGGCTATGCTGTCACTGTTAGGTGACCATGACTAGTGACTTGCATTGTAGTCAGTGGCCAAGGGTATAAGCAATATATGAGGATAAACATCTTTGGAAGAATGCGTGATACATCTTGACTGGCTGAGTGGTCAGGATTGTGTATGATTTTGTCATTTCATGCTTTTGTCTGTGTATGACCATGACAAAGTGACAGTGTGGGCAATGGTGTCTGTGCAGAGTGCCCTCAGAGGAGGTACATCAGAGCAGCCCATTCTCAACAGTGGCTGCCCTAGCACTCTCAGGAAGCTGTTTCCTCAGGGGAAGACACAGGAAGAAGTGAAGCCTCGGGCACGTGTACACTTGGTGGGGAAAGGGAGAATTACCCAACAACCCCAGAAAGGCAGGACAAAACAGGCTGGCAACAAGGGACACCCTCTCACCCAAGCAGAGAGAGGCCCTGGGACAGGAGTGAGAGATTGCAGTGTCTAGATGATTTCAGGGGCTGAGTTTGCCAAAAGTTTGTCCTGGAAACCAGCCTGAGTGCCTTTCTGCCCCCCAAAAGGAGACCTCAGAAAGCCCTCTGGGGGCCAGGTCAGGGCTCAAGCCCATCTCAAGCCCCATACTTTCTTTCACCAGCCAACCAGGGGCTTCCTTCTTCCTGTGCATCTGATTTGAGGACCTGATACCCAGGCTGGTGTGGAGGAGACAAGAGATGAGCTCGTCCGGGCACAGTCTGGGGCAGGGCAGCGCCTCTTATTCCTTGAGGAAGATCTGTGTGAGGCCGGCGGTCTGGGCAGGGAGGGGAGGGCAGAGAAGAACTGGGGCCAGGCTCTCTCCCAGGCCCAGGCCTGGGCTGGTGGGGCCAGGCTGGGGACTGGACAGAGGGGCAATGTTGAGGCTGCAGGGAGGCACTGTGGCTCCACTAGGCATAGAACTCCTCCTGCTTGTCAGGCTTCTGGTATGTGACGCTCGCCTGCTTGGGCTCTTCCAGCGTGTAGCTGCCCTCATCCTTCTTCTTCATGCGGTAGATGAGCAGTGTGACCAAGAAGGCGGCGAAGAGGGCGCCCACCACCCCGCCCACAATGACAGCTGTGGAAGAAGAAAGCAGATGTCAGGGCCCAGAGGCAGGGTGGGACCAGGGCAGATGACCTGGGGGCTTGGGGAAGAGGTTAAAAAGCTGAGTGGAGTCCTGAACCTGACTGGAAGTCGATCCCACCTCCACCAGCACTGGCTACCATAAATAGGCCCTTACCGGCTCCATGCTAATCACCTACCACACTCTAACTCAGTGGTTCTCAACCTACCTAATGCTGCAACCCTTTAATATGGTTCCTGAGGGTCATGACCCACAGGTTGAGAACTGCTACTCTAACTCATTGAAACTTCAATCAGCCCTGTGAGGGAGGTGATATGGTCTTCAACAAACTCAAGATGCCAGCAGTTGTAAAGATGCGCCAGTAATTTATAATCACTAGAAAAGGAAAACTCCAGCAACTAAACCATGACATGCCCCGATTACAGAAGAGTTAACATAGGAACAGATGTGCAGCTTAGAACTGATTAAGGACAAAATGGCTGGGCCTCTTCTGCTGCTGAAGAGGAGGAAGCCTGGAGAGGTGAAGCTCCTTGCCTGAGGTCACACTGTTCCTAAGTGGGGAACCAGGATTTGGACCAAGAGTCCAGAGTCTCTTTAGGAGATGTGGTCAGGGCAGACCCACAGGGTCGGGGGTCAAGGGTGGGGAAGTCAAGCTCAAAGATGGGTCAGAGATTAGTATCAAGGAAGTACAGTCCTGGAGGTCAGCTGGTATGGCCCAGGAAGTCAGGAATCAAAGTCAGAGCCCAAAGAGGGGTCAGAGGAGACAGATAAAAGTGCCAGAGATGGAGATGAAGCAGGGTCACACTTTGGGAAGAGAAAAGGGCAGGGGAGGAACCAGTGGGCAGAAGGAGGTCAAGTCCCTAGCTTGCCCCCTCCAAGCCAGCTCCTAAGAAAACCATGCCCTGATCCCCTTCTGGGTTCCTGGAGGCCAACTGAGGCTCAGCCAGCTGCCCCACAGTGGGGTCCCCCAAGCCCCCTCTGGCCCAGACTCAGGCCTTACCTACAAGCACCTCCTTCCGCTCCAGGATGCTCTTCTGAGGCAGCTGAGCAGCTGAGCTGCCTGAGTCGATGGCATTGTCCAGGAGGCCAGGGCCTGGCCGGGCACCCTTGGGCAGTGTCCCTGGTGGAGGTGATGGCTTGGCTGCAGCCCCTCCTATAGCCACCACCTCATTGGCTGTGTCTGGCTGTGTGGTCTCTTCCTCTGGCAGCTCAAAGTCTCCACTGGGCCCCCCGCTCACTGGCACCTCTGGCTCATCCCGGATTGTGGTCAAAAAGGACTCTGGAGTTGGGGTCTGCAAAGAGAGTGTCATGAGCTCGGGAATCAGGGCTCAGCACCCGCTGGCTCAGGCCAGCAGCACACATGCACAGGCCCTACCACCATCTCACTGCCCCAGGGGCGCTAATACTTCCTAAGCACTCACTCATTACGTGCCAGGCACTGTGCTAAGCATCATCCCCACGAAGGCAGTACATTGCCCCTGAAGTCCTCAGAAGTCAGGTGACCTCCCCAAACACACATGCTAGTCAGTGGCAGAAGCAGAACTAAAATCTAGACCCATCTGACTCCAGAATTATGCATCTAACCACTCTACCCATTGCCTCTGTTCTTACTCTGGCTACTTCCTGTCCCATCATGTCTCCCCCTACCCCCCAGCTGCCTTAGGGATTCCTATCAGAGGGACAGCTGGACACAGCTGGTATGCACTTGGACCTGGCCCAGCCCTCATGCTTGAGGTAGAGATGAGTCCTGGGGTCTAGAGACCTATCCAAGGGCACCCACAGAGTGTGATGTGCCTAATATGTTCCACAGAGGCAGGTGTCCCAGGAACCACCTGTGAGTGCAAATCCCAATTGCACTAGTGCCATGTGGAGCTGTGGAAGCCCCCAAGGCAGGGGAAGGGGTGTGGCTACTTCACAGGTGGGCATAGAAAGGACAGGCCTGAGTTCCAGCTGAGAAGTTCCAGCTGCACCCAAGAACTGGGCTCCCTGCCCTGTCACTGTTTCCTCCTCCTGCTTGGCCAAGTCTCTGTGACAACACCAGGCTGCCCCACCTGCTGGAGGAGCTGAGGGAAGGGCCCATGTCCTGCCAGGGCTGGCTGGGGAATCAGAGGGACTGACACTGTCCCACAGGCAGCTCTGCATGCTAAGGGCCTCCCCCACGAGATGGCTGCAAGTGGCTCTGGTCCCCCAGTCAGTGTTGCCCTCCCCCTCTTCCTTGCCTGGTCCACCCAGCAGGGGCCAGACTATTGCTCCCGTTCCTAAGACCCATTCATCCATGGCACCGCTGACATCTTCATCCTCTTCTCTTCAGTCCTGTTCACAACATCCTAAACACACACACACACACACACACACACACACACACACACACACCCTGGCCCTGCAAGAACACCCCGGCCTCTGTTGCCAGCTACCCAGGTTCAAACCCTGACAGCCACCATTGTTGCGAAGCCCATGAGCCACAGTGTCTAGGCTCACATGAGAACCAGAGATGACATGAGTAGAGCTCTGGGTGCTGAGTGGCACCCAGGCAGCACCTCACAGGTGAACTGAAGAATTCTTCCCGTAGGCCCCCCCTCAATCACCCTCAGACCAATGATAATAATAACCACGATGATGACAATGACAACAATAACAATAGCTGAGTGTTTGGACGGTTTACTCCTGCCAGGCACTGCTCTAAGCACTTGGGATATGTCAGGAGGTATTCTCACGACACTGTGATACACATCCTTTTATTTTCTCCTTTTCATAGGTCAGGAAATGGAGGCATAGAAAGGATCAGTGACTGGCCTGAAGTCACACAGCTAGGAACTGGCAGCAGAACAATTTAAATCCAGCTATGGGCTTCTGAGTCCATGCTCTTAACAAGAACATGCACGCCAGGCCTCTCCCCATCACTATCACCAACACCCACATTCACCCAATTCCTTCCCCAGGATACCCCATCCTGACATTAACATCCAACCACCCAACCTTGGTTTTCTGTCCCTCTTCCATCTATCTCAATCTCTATCCCCACCCTGTGACTTACCACCCAGCTTTGGTCCTCTGGCCACATTCCCTCTTGTCCCTACCCCTGTCTGGCTTATCCCTAGGACCTCCTGGTCCTCACCCCTGGCCAGCTCCATCCCCTACCCCAGCCCCTGATGTTCCTCTTCTGCCTTCCCTTCCTGCCCTCTCCCCACACCCTCACCTGAGCCACCTCTGTGGGTCCAGGGGCAGTGGTTCCCAAGGGCAGAGTGCTCCTCTCTGGGGCATCAGGCTCCTGGGTGGCAGTGGGCCTGGGAAGGGCTCTTGGCCGAGAGGTAGCTGTGCTGACCAGCCTGGGTGTGGAAGCCTCGGTGTCCAAGACATCCACCGTGGTGGGAGGGGAGAGCACCCCAGGGATTGTGGCCTGGGCTGTGGCTGCCGTGGTCAGTGGAAGAGGCAGAAGCCTCTGTATGCCGGTGGTCCTTATGACGGCAGTGGTAGCTGTGGAAGGGGGTGTCGCAGGGGTGCTGGGAATGGCAGCAGCCACTGTAGCAGGCACTGTGGCCACAGTCGGGGCGCCTGTGGTGGTGGCCGCTGTGGTCGTGGCTCCTGCAGTCATGGCAGTAGTGGTGGCCATGGTGGTGGCAATAGTAGTAGCTCTCTGGCTGGACTCTTCTGGGACATCTGTCACCACTAGGGGGTTGGTGGCTGGCTCCAGGGTGGGTCGTTCAGAGGGGAGCTCTTCAAATGGAGTGCCCACAGGCTGGATGTCCATAGTAGGCAGCACAGCAGGCGTAGTGGACACTGCCAGGGCCGCATCTGGGCTGAACCGCATGGCTGTCTCAATGCCCGACTCCTGCTCGAAGTCTGAGGGGGTGGGGAAGAGGGAGAGAGCTAGGGAGCTGGGTGGTTGTGAGGGGCAGGAGGATCCCAGGTAAGCAACAGCCATAGACTGGGGGCTCCCAACCCCCTCTCTTTGCCCAACTTTCCCAGGAAGAGGTAAGGTGTTGCAGCTGGGCAAGCGAGCTGTGGGTACTGTACCCTGTGGGACTCCACTTCCTATAGACCATCCTGGGATGCACTTAGGGTTGGTGAATGCTACCCTGACCTTGGCCTCAGCTGATTGGACTGGAGAAGACCAGCTGACCCAGGCTGGGCCAATCAAATAGCCTCCGCTGAGGCTGTGCCTCTGCTGGTCAGAGGTGGCTGCTAAGTCCAGCAGGTTACTAAGGGGTGTCTGCCCTCCTGACAGAGGCTGGATGGCAGAGTCCTCAGGGCTACAGGCAGCCAAGCAGTACCCACAAAAAAGAAGACCCTGGGCAGCTGGGGGTCCCAGGCTGTGGCTGCCCAGGCCTATTTCCATCTCTGGGATAATGTCCTGCCCTTCTTGTTCTTGGGGTCCCTGAGATGCCTCTGCCTAACCACCACATGATAACCCCACCCTCCTGACCCCCACCGCCTCACTGAAGCGAGCCTCAGGGTTCCTCAGAGCAGGGGCTGCATGCAGACTAGGAGCAGATACTTACAGCCCGAACCTGACCCCGAGTAGAGGTCGTCCAGCTCATCATCAGGAAAGGAGTCGTCGTCCCCGGAGCCCTCAAGGTCCACAGGCCTCTCGAAGTTCTCACTGCGCCAGCGCTGGGCCTGGGGAAGGTGGAGGCACAGGGATCAGCCCCAGGACAGCAGCCGGACTCATCCAGAAGACAACAAACATGCTCAGGGGCCACACACGGCCAGGTGCCTGCCCAATGACCACTGCCCACCCACTCTAGGGAACCTGACAGTGCTCCTTGGCATTACCCTGGCTACACCTTCAACCCTGGTTTCAGACTGACAGGCACCACTAGGGACCCCTGGCTGCTCCTTCAGCCTCTCATTGAAACCACTGAGTGGCAGAACCAAGTTTAGACCCTGCCAGAGTGCTGGATTTCAGTCCTGGCTTTGCCACTTATTAAATGTGGGACCCAGAACAAGTTAATCTCTTCTTCTTCTTCTTCTTCTTCTTCTTCTTCTTCTTCTTCTTCTTCTTCTTTTTTTTTTTGAGACAGAATCTCTTTCACTATGTTGCCCTTGGTAGAGTGCCGTGATGTCACAGCTCACAGCAACCTCAAATTCTTGGGCTTAAGCGATTCTCTTGCCTCAGCCTCCCAAGTAGCTGGGACTACAGGTGCCCCCCACAACGCCTGGCTATTTGTAGTTGCAGTTGTCATTGTTCAGCAGGCCTGGGCCACACTTGAACCCACCACCCTCAGTGTATGTGGCCGGCACCCTTACTCGCTGAACCACAGTTAATCTCTTCATGCCTCAGTTTACTCCTTTGTAAAACAAGTGAACACCTGCCTTCTTGGGCTGTGAGTATCCAGTGTGCAAGTTCACATGCAGTACAGATCACACCCTGGTATGCAGCAGGTGCTCAGCCCTTGCGGCCACTCTCTAGCTGGCCAGCATCATCGCCCCACTCACAAGTCCCTTTCATAGGCAAGATCCCACTGAGTCCTCAGGACAGATGTCATAGGAGAGGGATGTGCAAGTCATCAACCCATTCTACAGATCCTCATCTGAGGCCCACTTGCCCCAGGTCACCAGAGAGCAGGTGATGTGATGAGATCCAACCTCTGCTTAAGATCTGAAGTCTCCTACTTCAAATTCCCAAAGGCAGGACAATTAGTACTATCAGATAGACATGAGTGTTGGGGTGAGGGTTGAGGGTGTGGGGCTGGGGGAGAAGTGCCTGGTACAAGGGAGGGAGAAGGCAGTGGAGGCTCAAGTAAAATAAGAAGTCAGTCCCCACCCACTATGATCCCAAAATATCTCAAAGCTCAGAGTCAATCAGAGCCTGTATTCTACATCCACTGATGCTGTGAGGGTCTCCAGGGGGATTGGAGGGGTGAGAGGGGTTTTTCTATGGGTCCAGCTCACTAGGCCCAAGACTCCTCCCAGAGCTGGAACCTGGGAAGGCAGGGAGCTGGGCCTGCGGGTCTGACTGTGCCCCCAAATCCTACAACCCTGGGGTTGGCGCCAGCACCAAAGACCTCAAAGGGAGAAGTGTACACCCCCAGAGAGGTGTAGCCCTGCTCCTTGGCACTACCCTGGCCACACCTTCAACCCTGGTTTCAGACTGAGCCCAGCCACGCTCCATGCCCCCTTGAGAGCTTTCAGGAGGAGGTGAGATATGAAGAACACAGCTTTGGGGTTTAAGCAATTGAAACCAAGAGCGAAATACCTTTCAGGCAGAGGGAATGGAATAAGCAAAGTCTCCAAGGTGGGGAGGAGCAGGCTGTACTCTTGGAACTGGCCCTGCCTCACCTCCAGCCTCACCCAGACTCCCTCGCTCCCTCCTGCACCCCAGCCTCTTTCTGTTCCTGGAACACGCCTGGTCTCCTGCCTCTCTAACTCGTGCTGTTCGCTCTGCCTAGAACACTTCTCCCATCCCCTTGTCCTCCAACTTAGTGGCTGACTCCCATTCTCATGTCACTTCACTCGAGAAGTCCTCTATGAACTTTCTGTCCCTTGCTCCTAATTTCCAACATCCATCACTACTTACGAACTGTGTTTTCTTGGGTCTGATTTGTTCAATGGCTGTAACTATCCTTAATAAAGCCAGTACGGTGTCCAGCATCTAGCAAGGTGCCTGGCACATATTAGGTATTCAGGAAACATCAGTTAAAGATGTTAATGATCACAGGGCCGGGGCAGGGTGGGGGCAGGCTGGAGTTGAGGGTGGGATGTTGGCTGGGGTCCCATCACGGAAGGCTTCAGTATCTGGGGGATGATTTCCTCTTGGAAATTGGTCATTTTTCACCCTGACTCATATGAGAATATCACAAAAGTGGACCTCAGTGGTTCAGTAGGTCTCAGTACCTGCCATGTCTGACTGGCAGTGCGAAGCCCTGAGGGAGGGGAGGGTGTGAGCGTGAGAGGTGCTGAATCGGCACTGCACTTTGGGTTTAGCATCTCACACCCTTGCCACTGACACATCCCACCCCCAGCCCTGGAGTTCATGGAGAAGCAGAGAGGCAGAGAGGGGATCTCAATCCTGGCTTCCCACTGCCAGCCTCAAGCACCTGCTCCAAAGCCCTATCCAGCCCAGCCAGGGCAGGGAGCCAGGAGATGCCCCCCCTCACCAAACACACACACTGTCTCAAAGTAATGAATTAATCAGTATTTACTTTCTACCAGTGAGTCATGGAGTGGAACAATTAGTGTAATTGCCCCCGTGACTAATCGCTGGGTCTTCCTCCTTTTTAGACATTCCAGGAGCACAGAGCAGCTATGGTCCAACTTTTCGCAGCTCCCATCTCTGCCCCCAAATTCCCAGGACACAGGCTACAGAGGCTAGTGGAGTAAGGAGCTTTCTACACTCCACACCCTCAGCTAGTCAAGCTGGAGTCCCTTGGGGACTTTCTGCTTCTGTCACCTCCAGTTCCTTGGCAAGCAGCCTGAAGTCTCACAGCAGAATGGGCACTGGGCAGGGACCACAGCGCAGACTACTGCTTCCAGGCTAAAGCTGGAGGTGCAGGGGGGCATTCTAAGAGGTCTGTAGTCCAAGGGACCCCCAGACTGGGGTAAACACAGGAACCAAAACAGGAAGTCCCCAAGATCCCTCAGCAATCAGTGCCATGCACCAGCCCCCAACTCCCTGCTCCCAGAAAGGACTGCACACATCCAAAGACCCTTTCCCAAAGCTCAACAGACAGTTGAAAGACACACCCAGAGACACAGAGAAAACGTGCACAGCCACACCCTGACACACGCTCACCTAAAGGCAGCCCCAGAGAGGCACAGGGTGTTGGCCTGCCTTTGGGGACAAATAGGCACGTGCATGGGAGGGAAGAGGGCTGCCATGCCGCTCTGAGGCTCAGAGACAAGCGCTGAGCCTCCCGTGACTCCACCAGACTCCACTCAGGTAGCTCTCACCTAGATACTATTCATCCCTAGCTCAGTAGCCATTGACATGACAACTGTTACCATGACAACCATCTTCTTCTCCATGCTAAGGACCAGGAACTCCAGCTCCCCTCAGAGATGGGGGTGCCGGAGAGGGGGAGATCATGAAGGAACAGAGAGGATGACAGGGAGGGGAAGGCAGAGCCAGGGATGGAGAGGCAAAGGACAGAGGGAGGCCAGCGGGCAGAGGCCCTGGGGTGAGTTGGCTGGGGGTACGAGAGGGAGAGAGGCCAAAGTAGGAGGTGGAAGGAGAGATTCATGCCCATCTTAATTTAGTCTCATGCTGAGCAGATGAAGCTGGGGCAGGGGTCTCCTCAGTGATTTTCCTAACTGCATTCAAGAGACCATTCTTTCAAGCAGTAAAAATGAGGGTGGCCAGGCGGGGGAGGGTGCCAATAACCCAATCACCCTGAGCTCTCCCAGGGAAGCTCAGCTGGAACTTAGTGTGGGGACACCTGAGACCTGTGGGGGCAGGGGCTGGGGGAGGGCCTGGGGCCCTCTCAAGAATGCTATGGTGGTGCTGCTAGCTGCATCTCCTAGGGGATGAAAGGGAGACAAGTGCCTGAGGAGGGGGGATGACAAACAGCCTTTGACCCCCCAGATAACCCCCTGCATTTGCATAATCCATGCATGATGAGCATAATTATCCATGCCATTCCCTTAAAAGAGAACTGACTCCAGAATCCCCAGGACCCTGCTGGCCTCTCCCTGCCAGACAAGGCACCCTCCAGGCAAACGTGCCTCACAGGAGGCACACCCCAAATGTGCATCCACACCCCAACACACACAAATGGACAGACAGAACAGCCCAACACCTGCACGCATGCACTGCATACCCAAGCACACACACAGACTCTCACACAAGACCCATAGCAACCTACAGGCAATATAGCCTGGCACAAGTGTGCACACACACACCCCTAGGGTACTCACAGACACACATATCCCTTGCCTCACCTCACATACCCCAGGATGCCCCACACAAACTTCAGAGCCTCATAAATAACCACACACATCACACACTCACCCCACTTAAGGTCCCCACCAACCCATCCCCACATACACACATGTTGCCTAAACCACACATTGCTCCTAGATGTAGCCCTTGGCAGGTGCACCCCCACTCTGACATGAGCCTCACAACTCAGGCACAACCTTTCCTCATGTGCACAGGCCCCACAAAGCCCCACATCCCACAAGCTCGCCCACTGCAGGGGCACCAAACCCTCCTCTTCCTGCCAATCTCAGGAGCAGGTACCCCACAGAGGCTCCCCCAACCACCTGGTGACCATTGGAGGATTGGGGGCCCAGGGGAGCTGCTGAGGGTTCCCACAGAAGGCGTGCCCCAAGCAAGGAGTTGGTAGCCTGTGACCTGCACTGTCGCCTTCAACCCTCACAACCTCCCAGGTTTTCTCATCCCCATTCCACAGACGCAGACAGTGAAGCCAGGGTTCAGAATTCAAACCCTCCATTTCTGAAATTTCAGGCTGCTCCAGACCCACTCAGAGTTTGCACACCTGTGACCCACAGCCATCCATACCCAGCCAGTACCTGCACACAGACAGACACACTCCAGCACGCATGCCCCCAAATGCAGTGAACACATGTGTGCTCCCTACCTGTGCAGTCTACCTGTCCCTCCCTGAATAGGCAGCCACCCCAGAGAGGTACCTGCACTTTCACATGCCCAGGCTCCCAGACA